TCATTGTGCCTCCATGGGGCTTTCCCATCCGCTTCCCTGTAAGCCTCCCTCCCCCGGCGCTGTCTCCATCTTACATGGGCCCGTTGTGATGTCTGGGTCAGAGCACAGGCTGAATTCTCTGACTCATCCCCTGCTGAGGGGTATTTGTAGCTGCATTTGGATCCCACCTTGGCATGAGCTGTGGCCTTTGGCAGGGCACCACACAGATGCCCATTTGCAGAATGCAGAGATGCCTGCTTTATATAGTACCTTGGGCAATTGGAGATTTTTTTTAAGATTTATTTTTTATTTATTTATGCATACAGGAACTGGGTCCAGGCCAGAGGTGCAGTGGTGAGAGGATTCCCAGAGACAGAGTAGGTTGCAAAACAGGCGATCTACTGAAATACACGTTGAGGGGAGCAGCAGGTGAGACAGGAGAGGTCCGCTGAACCATGTGGGTCACCTCCTGAGCCGGGGATGGAACTCAGGCTGCAGTGGCTGGAGATAGCTTGATAGCACTGAGACTTTAGCCCCTGTACCCACCAGGGAGGCCCATGATTGGAGATGAGTTTATAAAGTGGTAAGTGTCTGACATGCAGTGCTGTTAAAAAGGCGTCTTCGTGTTGAGGTGACTCTATGTTGGCGAATAACTGTCTACTTCGAATCATCTCTGAGGACAGTGAAGTTAGAGCGAAGGGGAGAAAGTGAGATGTGGGGATCATCTCCTCTTGCAGTTAACCCAAACCTATGAACATACTTCTGAAATCATTGTTTCAGCTGAACTGTCTTTTCATTTTCAAGTTACCATGAGTTTGAGAAGCGCCAGAGCATCCCATTCGATGCCAAGAGAAAAGAAAATGGATGACTATGTCTGCCAGGTACTGTGACACATGTTATGTTGAATCTTCACAGCAGCCCTGGCTGTTGCATCACCAGCGAGGGTCGTCCCTGGCATGTGAGCCCATTTCTGCTGGCATCAGCCGGATTGAGTTACGGCGTGGGGACTCTGAATCTTTAGACAGAGGAACCAGATGTCCTTCATTTTTATTGAATGTCTATTATTTGGTCAATCTCCTATTTATTCCTATCCCATCCTTGATTTTTAAGATAATGCCCTATAAAAATGGAGTTATGGATATCAAGTTTACCCCCAAAAAAGATGATACAGTCTAATAGAAGTATTAGACTAATACGTATTTGAGTTCTGATATTTACTTAATTCTTGTTATTTTGTGACCCTAGGAAAGGCACTGATAAGCACACTGTCTACCCCTCAGTTGCTCTAACAAATTGATAAAGGCAATATTCATTATTATCACTTAATAGGATTTTGAGTTTAATTCTATGAGAAAATTTGGGTTCTTTGCCTGATCATTGTTGGTTCAGTCAGGGTTTTTATTATTAAAAGAGCTATATTTTTCAACCCAATGATTAGTTAACTTATGATGGTTCTAATGTAAGAAACATGGTAACTGATCCTTTGTGATTTTGGTGCTTAAGAATACGTTTTTGCTGTGATCTGTCAGCATACTTGGAAAAAGGAAAATTACATTGCTGAAAATAATAAACAAGACCTGGAATAACACTATGGGACAGCTGGCAGGTTTTTAAGCACCTCTGGTTTTGATGCACTTAGAACAAAAGGTGTTTTTTCCTTATATCTCAGAAAAATATACCAGTATAACAGTAATTAAGATTTATTTGATCGATAGGACAAGAAACTCAGCTGTTATTCTGGATCCTAATTTAAATCCCGATTTAATTCTGCTCATGGGCCTTTTGAGATTAGTTCTGAATTTCCTAGAGAAATTTTGTACATTGCATACTGAAAGGAAAAATAAAGACGAGGGTTGCATTCAGAGTTTTTAATGATTTAACATTTCTTTGTAGGTTGGCAAACCCAGCAGAATGATCCCAGTCTTCCACAAACATCCTCTGAAAAATGTCCAGAAGACAAAACTAACCTCCAGGCTGAAGGTCCCACCACTAGGACAGTGAAGGTGACTTTGGCGAGCTTTGGAGACCACAGGGCATATGAGGTCAGAGGCAGTTGGAGAGATAGTTTGTACAAAGACGAGGGTTGCATTCAGAGTTTTTAATGATTTAACATTTCTTTGTAGGTTGGCAAAACCCAGCAGAATGATCCCAGTCTTCCACAAACATCCTCTGAAAAATGTCCAGAAGACAAACTAACCTCCAGGCTGAAGGTCCCACCACTAGGACAGTGAAGGTGACTTTGGCGAGCTTTGGAGACCACAGGGCATATGAGGTCAGAGGCATTGGAGAGATAGTTTGTACAAAGACGAGGGTTGCATTCAGAGTTTTTAATGATTTAACATTTCTTTGTAGGTTGGCAAAACCAGCAAATGATCCCAGTCTTCCACAAACATCCTCTGAAAAATGTCCAGAAGACAAAACTAACCTCCAGGCTGAAGGTCCCACCACTAGGACAGTGAAGTAACTTTGGCGAGCTTTGGAGACCACAGGGCATATGAGGTCAGAGGCAGTTGGAGAGATAGTTTGTACAAGACGAGGGTTGCATTCAGAGTTTTTAATGATTTAACATTTCTTTGTAGGTTGGCAAAACCCAGCAGAATGATCCCAGTCTTCACAAACATCCTCTGAAAAATGTCCAGAAGACAAAACTAACCTCCAGGCTGAAGGTCCCACCACTAGGACAGTGAAGGTGACTTTGGCGAGCTTGGAGACCACAGGCATATGAGGTCAGAGGCAGTTGGAGAGATAGTTTGTACAAAGGCGAGGGTTGCATTCAGAGTTTTTAATGATTTAACATTTCTTTGTAGGTTGGCAAAACCCAGCAGAATGATCCCAGTCTTCCACAAACATCCTCTGAAAAATGTCCAGAAGACAAAACTAACCTCCAGGCTGAAGGTCCCACCACTAGGACAGTGAAGGTGACTTTGGCGAGCTTTGGAGACCACAGGGCATATGAGGTCAGAGGCAGTTGGAGAGATAGTTTGTACAAAGGCGAGGTTGCATTCAGAGTTTTTAATGATTTAACATTTCTTTGTAGGTTGGCAAAACCCAGCAGAATGATCCCAGTCTTCCACAAACATCCTCTGAAAAATGTCCAGAAGACAAAACTAACCTCCAGGCTGAAGGTCCCACCACTAGGACAGTGAAGGTAACTTTGGCGACTTGGAGACCACAGGGCATATGAGGTCAGAGGCAGTTGGAGAGATAGTTTGTACAAAGGCGAGGGTTGCATTCAGAGTTTTTAATGATTTAACATTTCTTTGTAGGTTGGCAAAACCCAGCAATGATCCCAGTCTTCCACAAACTCCTCTGAAAAATGTCCAGAAGACAAAACTAACCTCCAGGCTGAAGGTCCCACCACTAGGACAGTGAAGGTAACTTTGGCGAGCTTTGGAGACCACAGGGCATATGAGGTCAGAGGCAGTTGGGGAGATAGTTTGTACAAAGACGAGGGTTGCATTCAGAGTTTTTAATGATTTAACATTTCTTTGTAGGTTGGCAAAACCCAGCAGAATGATCCCAGTCTTCCACAAACATCCTCTGAAAAATGTCCAGAAGACAAAACTAACCTCCAGGCTGAAGGTCCCACCACTAGGACAGTGAAGGTAACTTTGGCGAGCTTTGGAGACCACAGGGCATATGAGGTCAGAGGCAGTTGGAGAGATAGTTTGTACAAAGACGAGGGTTGCATTCAGAGTTTTTAATGATTTAACATTTCTTTGTAGGTTGGCAAAACCCAGCAGAATGATCCCAGTCTTCCACAAACATCCTCTGAAAAATGTCCAGAAGACAAAACTAACCTCCAGGCTGAAGGTCCCACCACTAGGACACTGAAGGTGTCTTTGGCGAGCTGTGGAGACGGCAGGGCACATGAGGTCAGAGGCAGTTGGAGAGCTAGCTTGTACGAGGTGCTCACCAATGAGAGTGAGGATTTAAAAAAAAAGATTGATTCCCAGAAAGGCAAAGAGATTCTGATACAAGGCATAAAAGGCATTGATGCGGCCATCAACCCAGGGATGCCCCTGAGTTGTTTGCCTGAAAACTGCCATGTGGAAATTACATTTGTCAAAAGTAAAAGTAAGCATAAGAAAGAGAATCAGATATTTGGCCGATTTGACCACGGGTCAGGCGAGTGTGTCAAGTTTTATATTCATGCCATCGGGAAGGAGAGAAAAAAGATCGTGAAATTCCCCGGACTTCACAGAAAGGGTGGCAAACTCTGCATCTACGCTTTCAAAGGAGAAACCATCAGGCAGGCCTTGTGCAAGGATGGCAGATTGCTTCCTTTTCTGAAGGATCATGGCTGGAAACTCATTGAAAATGCCGACACCATTTTAGAAAGCACACAGCTGGTGGATGACATAGAGGAAAGGGTCTTTGAGGTGGAGTTTGAGAAAAGGCTCACGAGGGCTAACGCGACTGAGAACGCTGAGCCACAGAACAGGAACACCACTCTATTGAATGAAGCACTTGTGGAGCAGTACCCCATTTTGAGAACGGAAAGTCAGAAAATGATAGCTTATTTAAGGAAAGATGAGGAAAACTCAAAGGCTTTTTACAAAGTTTGTAAAACAAATTTTGGGAAAGAGAGAAAGAGCTTTACTACGGGCGCAGTCATAAAGCTTGTTCATCCTCTCCTTGACTCAGTTGGGTTCATGGAATGGGACAACAACGGGAGAAGAGGTCATGCCTCCTGTTTTGTTTTCAAATGGCCGTACATTTTCACTTCCCAGCATGTATTGCGTATGCTTGTGGGAGAAGGAATAGAGGTCCGTGACTGGAACAGCATAATTAGTCGAAGTGCAAAGGTGACTTTCAATTATTACAAGACCACAATTCAAGAAAATGACTGCTTTTACATTGATCCATCATTTTTGAAATCTGATGCAACTCTTGATTATGCAGTTCTGAAACTGAAGGAGAATGCACAAGTCATTTCTCCAGGATTATGTGATAAATTTAATTCTACACCACCTAATGGGTTGGTATATATCATCGGCCACCCAGATGGAAATGCGAAAGAAATTGATCACTGTTTTGTGATCCCCCTGAGTCAGCGAGAAGAAAAATGTGAACAACGTGTCAAAAACGGCGGCCCATTTGTCCACATGTACACTAGAAAGAGTTTCCAGGGAATAGTTAACAACCCCAACGTGATTACCTATGACACCTTCTTTTACTTTGGTTCTTCTGGCTCCCCAGTATTTGATTCAAGTGGTGCGTTGGTAGCCATTCATAATGCTGGCTTTGCTTTTATAGATGAAAGAGGGATGAATAGTATCATTGAGTTTGGCTCATCTATGATATCCATCCTCTGTGATATTTATCATTGTGAAGATGGACGACAATGGTTTGATGAAATAAAGGTAGATCTTTCTGAATACTTACCAAAGGATGTAGAAATGGTGAGCGAAGAAGAGGATTGAGGATGGCATTTTTGGAATAATATCAAATTACACCTTGAACAATTCAGAGTGAATTCATTCCAGTCAGCCTTAATCAGTGACGTTTTACTATAACTCCCATATTCCAAATTACAAATTGGGCACATCATTTAAAGACTACTGTGCCACTTATGGGAGGGAACAGGAAGCAATTTGGGAGATACAGTTTGGATACTAACATGAAATGTCTGAAGCTTTCAGGCATTTATGTTACAGAGTATTTAATATTAATATTGTCTCAGAAGGTCTAAGGTATATTTATAAGTTACTATCAACATCATTATATTGACATAGTAAGAAATTTTCGACAGTGTGTTTTTTATAAATTATAAATCCTCTTATCCAAAATACATATATTTTACAACTGTAATTGATTACTACTGTCAAGTTACCTATATATTTACTTTCTTTTGCAAATGAAATAGGTTCCATACAAACTCATATCATTTGGCCTGTTTTCTACTGTAATACTCTACTAGTTTAACTTGGCAGATACACGAAGACTTGATAGAAAATCAAAGTGGACATTTATAGGAACCAGTCTCTTCCCCCTTCCCATTCATCTCTCAAAAAAACAAAACAAAACAACAGCCAATCTAACATTTGTCACCAGCCCTCTTATTTGGCCAGGTGCTATTTCTCCCTGATACTTGTAGCAACCCCTTACAACATGACTAATAGTTTCTGGGTCCATATTTACCCAGATCGCACGAAAGTTTAGTAGTCTTCATGCTCTAGATCTCATGATTGGAGTAAAATTATGATGGGAAGTAAAATAAATATCATGATGGGAAGTAAAATAACTCAATAAAAGTTTATATTGCCTTTTGTTCAATTCTGCTTTTGTTCTTATACAACTCTGTCCTCATTTTCTCTCTTCCCTTCTTTCACATCGAAACACTTTTACTTTACCATGTACTTTGCCTCTTATTATATCCGTTCCTCGTCATTTTACCTGTTATGGAGCCAGCATTGTTTATGGTGCTAAAGTTTTCTTTTTTTTAAGATTTATTTATTTATATAAGCACTGAGGTACAGTCAGAGCGTGGGAGGGTGAGAGAATTCACCAGAGCCATTGCGGAGAGCAGACAGGCAGACTGACAAAATACACTGCTGAGGGAGCAGCGGGAGGCAGGAGAGGTCTGCGTGCCATGTGGACCCTAGCCCTGCAGCCCAAGATGGAACCGGCACTGCAGAGGCTGCGGGCAGCTTTGCAACCCAGTGCTCAACCGCTGCGCCACCCAGGAGCCCTTTCTTTTGGATTTTTACAAAGTAATATTTGTTAATGTTGTAAAGACTTTGATATATCCAGGGAAAAGGTATTCTAATGATATACAAATTATGTAAAACCATCTAAAGTGAATTTCCCAACTCTTGAACTGTGTATTTTTTTTTTTTTCCATTTTAAAGCCCATGTTTTGAACACCAATTTCCCCTCTGGCTAAAGAGGTAGCCAGGGACAAACAACTTAAATTCCCTAAGCCTTGTTATTTGTGAAATGGGAATAATGATGACTCTGGTAGGATTAATCAAAGTATCCTTAACTCCTTTTCCTTTTGCCCTGCAATCCCTGAAATTCAGTGTTTTAATGAATGTGTTGATTGAGTCTGGCCTTCAGGGAGAGGCTGCCTGAAGGTTCTGGAAAGATTCTGGGGAGATTTCTGGAAAGGCGAACAGAAAGAACTAAGTTTGGATACACAAAAACTCCAGCTCCCTTTAGGTCAGCAGGCTCCCAACACAGAGGTAGCCTTGGGCCGGGTGCTTTTAAGACACCTGAAGAAGAATGTGTGTGCTGTTTTTCCTTTTGCTTTATAGTTAGGACTCTGGGAGGAAATAGATTAAGGCAGAAAAGTACGGAAAATACCAATGATGGGAGAAAAGACAACTGTAATTCAAGAAAAGCAAGAGAGAAGGAAAGCAAATCTTCTAAAACAATAATCATGAGATTATGAAGATTATGAGATTTATAATTCCAATCCCTAACAAAATCTATTTTCATTTTTCCATGTCCTATTTTGGATCTTGATTTTGTGATTCACTGTTTATGTGGTTACAATCTCAGCAGAACAATGTTTGTGTTTGCTGGCTAGATTAACATATAATCTGACATCAACCTGTGCTTTTAGTCAGAATCCACCCATTATAGATCATTTTCCACATTACTGGCAACGAAAATGGCCAAGTTTAACTTGTGCCTGTCAAGTCTCTCATTTATTGGTCACAGAAATCCTACAGAATAAATACATCACCGTGTGTCTTCTGACTTTGACGAGGTTTAGCAGAGCCACAAACCAACCAACCAGTCACTTTGCTTTCTACATAGATACATAAATCCATCACTCACCGAAGTGCTGCCTCCCTTTGGAGAGGGTCCCCAGAGCTGCGCTTGGAGTTGAGCTGTAATTAGTGTGCAGCCACCGGTCAGCACTGGCCACTTGGGGCCAGCAGGGGGCGCGTGAGGTCCAGGGCACCCCGCGAGGGGCCGGGGGCGTGTCTCTGCATCCTTGACTGGCAGCCGGGGATGCGGACGAGGATGAGGTAATAGGAGCCGGAGCAGGGAGGGCGTGGAGCTGCGGGCGCGTGTGTGCGCGAGTGAGTGTACGCGTGTGTGCACGAGCCGAAGACACTACGTGTCTGAGCTCGCGTACCGGCCACTAATCACGCTGCATTAAAAGAAATAATCCATCCCTGGTGTGGGGGGGGGGGGGTCGCCCAGAGGCGGAGGGCGACAGCTGCGTCAAGGCGGGTCGTTTTTCCGCCTCTAGGTTCTGGGGAACCCCCCGCGGGCGCGGGTTTGCTAGTGCGCCCCGCTGGGGAGGGGCGATGCCTTCTGGAAGCGGCTGAGCCGAGCCGCAGGGAGGGGGAGCTGTCGCCCGGGCGGGGGAGCAGCGCGGGGCGGGGTGCGCGGCGTGCCCGTCGGAGCGCGATCGCGCGGCCGGATCCCACCCCGGAGTCTGCAGGGCTCGAGGCGCAACTGGTGCCAGGGCTGGGTGCTCGCCCGGCCGTGCGTCCCAGCTCGCGGCCGCCGGGGCTCCGGCCGCGCGCCCGCCGGGCGGCTTTGCAAGGCGGGGGCGCGTTTGCCGGGAGCGGAGCATTTGCATGAAGCGCCCCGACCCCCCGGAGCAGCGGCTGCAGCGGCGGAGCCCGGCGGCGGCGGCGCGCGCTCGGAGCCAGGCGGCCCCGGTGTCCGGGCCCCGGTGGATGCGCGGCCGGGGCGGGGCCCATGGGCCGGAGCTGAGGCTGCCCGGGGCGGCGGGGCGCGGGGCGGGGGGCGCGGTCGAGGCCCGGAGGCGGCGGCGCAGGAGGAAGCGGAGGAGGGCGGGAGCGCCGGGCCCCGGAGGCCGGCACCGCAGCGCAGCCGCCGCGGCAGCCCCGGGCGCGCCATGCTCCTGGCCTCGGCCGTGGTGGTCTGGGAATGGCTGAACGAGCACGGCCGCTGGCGACCCTACAGCCCGGCCGTGAGCCACCACATCGAGGCGGTGGTCCGCGCGGGGCCGCGCGCGGGGGGCAGCGTGGTGCTGGGCCAGGTGGACAGCCGCCTGGCGCCCTACATCATCGACCTGCAGTCCATGAACCAGTTCCGCCAGGACACGGGTGAGCCGGCCGCCCCCGCCCTCCCGCCCTCCCGCGTCTGGAGCCCACCGGGCCCACCCTGTGCGCGCCCCGCGCGGGGTGTCACCGAGAGGCGGCCGCGCAGCGAGCGCCCCGGCCCTCCGAGAGCGCCTGCGGGGACGTCCGCGCGCGTAGGTCCGCGTCCTGGGCTTGCACCCCAGCTTCGGCCCGACCCGAAGACCCTCTGAAGAGCGGGGTGACGCTAAGTCCTCCGCTGTAAAAATCCTGGGGCCGCCCCAGCCCACACGCAGCCCCAGCTCCCAGAAAAGGCGCCGGGCTCTGCCTCAGGCGCCCCAGGGCCGCCCGCGACCCCCTGGGATGTCGCCACTGCGGGGTCCTGGGTATGGAGACGGTCCTCCTGGACGCAGGGACTCCCTGAAACCGCCTAGCTGTCTAGTGTGGAAGGGCCGGGCCTCCGTGGGGAAGCGCCGGCGAGGGGTGGGGGCGGCCTCCAGGGCTGAAGCGCCCCGGATGCGCGGCGGGGCCGGCCGGGGACGCGGCTGTGCAGCGCGAGCGCTGAAGCAACAGGCCTGAGCAGATGCAGGCGGGGAGGGACCGGGCAGGGGATGCCTGGCAGGGAAGCCGCTGCTCCCTTTGTCGGAGAAGGAGGATTCCAGAGGAGAAAGTCTCCCCAAGCCGCCTCCTGAAACCGGGCCTGGGAGGGGCGCTCTGGGCACCCCCTACGCGAAGCTCGCGTGTTTTCATGAGAATCCACTTGCCACTGTGGCCATTATCACCCCACTTCTCTGCTGACCCGCCTTTCCAGGGCCCAGGAGGAAGAGAGGCTGCAGGGGGAGGCTGGCGGATGGGGTCTTGGAGTGCGGGTGGGCAGGGCAGAGCAGCATCCCTGCATCTGCCCCTGTGTCCAGGTTCCCTGGACCCTCTGGGGGCGGGGGTAGGGGTGGGGGAAGTCTCTCCTCTGTGGCTGCCTCTTCATGGGGGTGGGGTTGTTCAGGAATTCTGGCTGTGCTTGCCAGAGTGTAACCCAGGAACCTAGAGAGACAGGTGTGTGGGGGGTGGGTGCTCCACGGAGGCGGGAGAGTCCCAGCGGGTCAGAGAACAGCTGTCCTGGCGGGACATCTTTGCCTCCTCCAAGTTGGCATCCTGTGTGGTAATCGCCATGGTCATGGGAAGGGGATCTTGGCACCACGTACCTCCTCTTTAGTCCTAACCCCAACCACCTATTGCCAAGGACTCTGAAGACCTTTTGAGAGAAGCTTTCTGGGGGAAGGATTCCAGAAGTGTTAGCCTTTTGGGGGGCTTAAACCTGGGTGGGAAAGTGGGGGTTGAGCTAAGAGTGGCTGGGAGGAGGAGGGAGTAAGAAGGAATGTGGGAGATTGAGAAAGAGGATTAAGTGTGATGAGGGGGAGGGAGAGAATGTAATTGTGCAACTTGGGTAGAGGTCCTGGAGGTGAAGGTGGACAGGGGGTGGGGGGGAGCCTTGGTGATGGGCGGGGGGGCGGGGAGGGGGCAGCAGTGAAGTAGGCACCTGACAGGGAATTTCGGTTCAAAGCAAACAGGCAGGTGTCAGCTTTCCCACTGCAGACTCCATCTCTGCAGGCCCCAGCCTCCGTCCCACCTTTGGGAAGAGTGAAAGCATCATCCGTGCTTGGGGGTGTGTGGGCTAGGCAGGC